CGTAGATTTTATAGTACTCGGGCAATCAGAGATTAATCTCCGTCGGCTCCGACAAAATATTGTTATTTTAAGTGCCGACTTTCCTTGTACTCGCCTTTGAAGGAATGATGTACATCTGACAAAATTTCGATTACGGCGGCCACGCCTAATGAAGATTAGCCATCTGCACAGGATAGAATTATAGTGTACGGGTGAGTGCACAAGCACAGGTGCGCTCTCACTCTCACACTCTCATAGCCGGAAGGGAGGGCAATGCGACACGGGCGGAGATAGACCAGACGTAGGACCAACGGCTTTGCTTGCTTGTGGGTGAAAAACCGTCAACTTTCTGACACCGTCCTGATACTGAAATTTTTTAATCAGAAAAACTTTATAACCGATTTTTGGCGCGCCCCGGGATTCGAACCCTCATGATCAACAGTCGCGTTTACGACCACTGAACCATCGCGGTAGTAGTATTTTTTAATATCTAAAAAAAAAGGAAATAATCAAAATAGGTACTTACAACGTTTGCTTTTCAGATTTCCCTAAAATGCGCTGGAGTTTATGGTGTAACGATCGATACGTCGCTAATGACAACCAGAGAGAATTTCTCTTGTGGAATGCATAACTTGACTGAAGAGAGGTCGTACATAACTATTCACTTCAGTCAGCTGTTAGCTGAAGAAAGTAACGCGGAATTAAAAGTAAGCACTTCATAATTAATCTGTCTATATAAAACATACAAGTGGTAAAATTAAAAATTTTGTACAACCGACTTCAATATAAATATAATTTATTGTTGATGTTTTTAAAACCGCTCGACGGATTTCGATAAAATTTAAATGGGAAAGTACCTTTGAAACGAAAAAAGAATTTTCCAAATCCGTTCAGGTGTCTTTGAGTAATCGGTGAACATACATTGAAAAGATTCCGATGAATTGTAAATTTCTCCTCCTTTTTGAAGTAGATTAAAAAACACAAAAAATGTTTTTACAGATGTCCGTTATAAACTTTGAAACCATCCAACCGATGCGCCCTAATCCAGTTTCATTATAATAATGCGAAGATAGTTTTAGACCCCCGAAAAATAAAACTAAAATAATATGTACAAAAGTTAATACATAAACAAAATTTCCTTTTAAAAATGTATTTATTTTTTTAGCGCACACGTCGAGTATCCGCTAATTTATTTTACGAGTAATGACGATTTTGTTGCCAAAAATGTTAACAACTCTTAAAAATAAACTGAAGTAAAACAAAGTAATTTGGATATTTTTTCAGAGTGACAGCAAGTCACTACTAACTAATTTTTAACACTTTTACTACATGCACAAATATTATTTTTTAAGTTTTACCCGACTGACCCAGAAGAGGAATAATGTTTTCAAGAGTATGTGTCTATTTACGTAAGGCTATTTCTTTGGCACGATCTGTAGCCTAAAAACTTGATAGATTTTTTGACATATTAGATGTCGTTAGTTTTTTTTATAGTGTACGGGTGACAAACGAGCACACAGTCCACCTGATGGTAAGTGGCTTCAGATGTCCATAGACAACTACATCTATCCTCGATGACGAATCAAACTGCAGATGCCTTTTCACCCGTGAGGACTAAGAATGAATGCCTCGTTTCTAGTAAAACATTTTTCTATACTCACCATACGAAAGACTACAGCGTTAAGCTACTATTTTACGCTGGTATTCTGTGAGAGCGTGGTCTTTCTCCGATCGAGCCGACGCATTCGTGCTACACCTATACCAGTAATATAGCTGCAAAATGGTGCTACCACGTAAAGAGAGTGACATAGGATATATAATATTCATATATTGCAACTAATTGCGATTCTTGTAAGAAACAAATTTGAAATGCAATGCTTTCTTTCTTTTTCCTAAGCTTGCAAATTAAATAAGTTATGTTACTTTATTTTTTTAAAAGAAACTACAGTTGATGGTGTCTGAGGGTATTAAGCGAGGTTACGTACAACCGTTATCACGAGTCATATATGCTCCTACGGACGTTTCCCGTGCCTTCCGCCTATTAGCCGCATCAGCATCGTGGGCGTGCACTAGTTCAACTTCGAGCTAACAACAAGACTCAAGATAGGATTTCACTATACTATAAACCTAGGTAAGTTTTGTATATTTTCAACTACTAAACTACCTATTACTGTTTAATGTCTACTCACCAGTAATCTACCAATCTAATGAACATGTAGTAACTAAGCTACCACGTCTTCGCGTGCGAGGCGGGGGCGTCTAAAGAGGCGGTCGGGACCCCTACCCCGAGCGTCTAGCGAAGACGTGGTAGCTTAGGGGCAAGCGCTTAGCCCCTAAGTTACTACATGTTCATCAGATGATCAGATGTAATCCCCGAGGAGGTCAATCTCTCGGAAGAGGTCCCGAGTCATTGTGATAGTACTAGGTACTGGAGGCAGAAAGGACTGCCCCCGGGACGGGCTTTAATAAAGCAAAACGACAGAGGGGCTCTAGTTATGTTCCGAACGGAGATTTCGGGACCCTTCATATACGCTGATGGTGACCACCGTGGGGCTTTAGGCGGTAGAGGTCCAACATAACCTCTTCGATGCCCCGAAGCGGAAGGTATCCTGTATATCGGTAAGGATTTCGCTAGATCATTTTCTACATCGTAGATATAATGGATTTGCGTAAAATAACGTTGATTATATTAATTATTTTATTATCTCTGTTTGATTTCGGTTGCAGATGTCCATGGTCTATTGAAGCCACTTAGTATTATCATTTGCCATTTCAATAAAAAAAGGTTTAACCTGACCCGCCACTGATTAAGAAAGTACTTATATAGCCTGTAACTGATTGTACAGTGTTTTTACAGTTTTAGATTTTGTCTTGCCGTTATGAACCAGTTGCAAATAAAAACACATGATTGCTTATTTCCTTGTATAACGTTTTTATACATTATTGTATTTAATACTTTTTCAGGTTATCCTGCTCTTCAGATTTAAGTCAACTAATACTGTGCAATAATGACTATTTAGGTTTACAATTTGCAAAAAGATTAGTAAGCCGTGGCGCCCGCAAAGTTTACTTGCACTCTTTGAAAAGTTCTGAATATCTTGACCTTGAAATTCGGTATGGCTATATAATGTTTCTATAAATTACATTGAATTTATTTCTATTAAAACTTCTAATACAACGATTTAATTTACAGGTCACTAGTAAAACAAGGTGTTCAAGTAAAGTTCACTAATGAAATATTAAAAAGTGAAAACGATGTTACACACTTATTGAACGATTGCAACAACCTCGGCACCGTTGAAGGGATTTACATAGTAGCAACTAAAGAAATATCTGGTGCAGGATCAGATAATTTAATTCGAATACTGGATTTAGTTTCAAGAAAACTTTGTCCACACATCAAGTAAGTAATTATTAAATATTAACTTTTATTTATTTTCAACAGAAATTGTAGTACAAGAACAAAAATATTGTACAAAAACTAAGGATATCCTCCTCTATCCTTCTGTATTAAGGTGACAATTTCGATTCTCAGTAAGTTGCAAGTTATAATATGTATGTTCATGCAAATACTTAATACCACGACTATAATTGAGTTTAAAACCTAAAATTTTTATTGATTTGAGATTTTCGGAATATGTTGATAATTTAACACTAATATTTTATAGGCATTTTGGAGTGCTTAGCAATGACGTGGACACTGGCATTTACGCCTGTATCTCCAGATCTCAAGATAAATTGCCAGCGACACTACTAAAAGTACCGGACATTAAAAGGGTAAAAGTTATATTAAACAATAACATTCATCTTAAGATACTGTATTATAAAAAGATAGTGGATATTGGACTTTATGTATTATTATTATATTCAAAAAGCTAAAAAGTATGTAGCAGAACCTCTCATTTCTGAGATGGTTTTTCTACAAAAAAGAGTCCATTATGTTGACCCATTATGTGTTGGTAGATTTAACATGCCCTGAAAATGTGTTTTATGTCGGAAATTTAGGAATTCTCATGATGTTTTCCTTTAACCTCCAGCACGTAATAAATCAGCACTTAAAATTGCATTTAACAATACCAGTGGTGTTTGTTTGAATCAAACTCAGTTTGCTCGTGCACTTGAAAGGCCAATGAATATTAATATCATTTCATAGTAGCTGTTCCCCGCGACTTTATGTGGAATTTATTGTGATTGGATTTCATAATTTTTTTTGCGCGGTACCCTAAGTCCCGTTAAAATCGGTCGAGACATTTTGGAGATTAGCCGGAACAAACATACAGGCAAAGAGATTGTCAAATGTTCTTAAAATAGGTTTTTTTTGTTACAAGTACCATATATGCTTTCATATGCAATTAGTAAAAAGCTGTTACTTTGACATTACAAAGAGACACTTCAATTTTTTTGTATAGATAACTCAACTTTTTCATTACATAGATGGGTGTCTTTGAAGATCCGTCTACTAATGAAACGATATCAGAAGTAGATGCAATTAATACGTTTGAACGTGCGTTGCGATCCCATGAACCTATAATATTTGCTCGAGTTCGTCCAACGCAATCTCATACTCTTTTAAACGAAATCGCAAATGTAGCAGGTAATATGCAGTATTTTTTATGTTTATTAGACAATTAAAACTACCATTTACACTTTCTATGTTGAAACTTTTTAGGGCTTGAAGTACCTAATGATATTGCGGAAACAGCTACTCTATCAGATTTAGACTTTCAAGTTGATAGATCTAAAATGGTTTCTACCTACCTGAGTGATATTTATAACATTTCTATATCAGAAGAAGTTATTCCCGAATTGACAGTCAAACGGTAAGTTTTATTTTAATAAAAATGTATTTGATCTTTAATTTATTGTAAACGTTTATAAGTTCATTGTTTGTATGAAAATAGTTACATGTTTTTACAGAATAAGGGAAATAGACGAAACGATAAATGATATGGAATTAAACAAAAGGCTTAGAGACATTTTACTCCAATGTTGACCCCGATGAACTACTTGTGACTACTGAAATGGTGTTTTTGCCAACCCTAGCAAATAGTTCTGCTATGGTGAGGAAATTAAAATAACTTCAACGGTTGTTTTTGTGTTGCTTAGAGGGCATAACTCTATTTATTATTTAATATTATTTATTTTCCTCATTTCAGCGTGACGACGAATTTGATGTTAGTCAGACTTACTTATGCATTATCCCTGGCTTGGAAGGACATCATGATCGTTTCCGTGTTTTGTGTGAACGCCTGAAAGTCCCTGCAATAATATTGCAGCCGGGACTTGATCGCCCTGATGAAACTATATCTAATCTGGCTCAGCGATATGCCGAGGTAATTTCCAAAACTTCGCAAACTGAGGTGTCTTCTTGTGTACTAATAAAATTTTATAATTATGTCCTATTTTATAACTTTATAGTTATAATAATATTGATTTTCTTCTTATTCTTCTTTAAAAGCCTTTTAAAGTCCAGAACTGGACATAGACCATTACAAGAAAATACTATTCAGTATGTACTACTCGGAACATTTGCCTTAAATCTCCAGCTAATACCCTCGTATAGTGTTTCCATTAATGCCTTCAATTCATCAGATCAATTTTCACTTACTTAGCACACTTTATCACATGCTTGCTTTTTTGAATCTGTCTTACAATAATTATTGATCGATAAATTTTCTGTTTACAGATACTATTAAAGAAGGCTCCACTGAAAGAAAACTTTTATCTCTTGGGTTACGAAAGCGGATCTTTAGTGGCATTAGAAATGGCTGCTATTTTAGAAGATCACGGTAATGAATATAACTTACGATCAATATATTTTGTTTCCTTTCTAAAATGCGTGAGAATATCTTATATAATGTAAAAGCATCATGATTTATTCCTGTTTACTTTAGTTGTTTTTTTTTGTTTAATTCTTTTAATGTAGTATTAGTGTATGTATTTTTGAAAGTATCAAACTATTTTTTTAAGGGATAAGGGTGACAAACGAGCACAAAGCCTACCTGATGGTAAGTGGTTGTTGTGGCCCATAGACATCTACATCTATCCTCAATTAAAAAACAAAATGCAGATGTGTTGTCACTCTTGAGGACTAAGATGAAATGCCTCTTTTCCAGTAAAAAGAATATTCGGTTCTCTTAACTCAACATACGAAACAAGACAGCGTTAAGCTCTTAATTTACGCTGGTATTCTGTGAGAGCGTAGTCCTTCCCCGGCCGGGCTGACCCATTTGTGCTATAACTATATAAATAATATAACTGCAGCATAGCTCTATCACGTAAAAAAGTACGTGGTTGAGCCAAGCTGCAGCTATAATAGCTTCTACCACGTAAAATACATAAATTTAAAATGTAGAGGTTTAATTTTTTTTCTCACTCCAGGTTTCACCGGGACCGTGTTTTTGGTCGGAGAATCTCCAGAAAAAATCCAAAGCGCTATAAATGAACGTCTTAAGGAGTATGACTCTGATGAAGCATTACAGCTAGCAGTCGCAAGACATATGGTCAAGTTAATGATAGGTGGTAGAACAGATGAATTAGAAACCGCTCTATGCGGTGCATCAACTTGGCAAGAAAAAGTTGAAGCATGTCTTCGCTCCATCTTAGGCCGAGTATCACACTCTGTACAGTACGCACAAGAACTTATAGAATCTGCATATGGTAGAATTAAGCAAGTGCAGTGTTATAATTTGAAAGTAAAAGAACTGCGATCTAAATTAGTATTAATACGAGCAGCATCGTCCACAGCCAATCCTGAAGCGCTTTCCTTGCAACGTCATTCACAGCAACCTATTAGCGTATATCAATTGCGAGCTCCTTTAGCTTATACTACTGCGGATTTGCGATGCTCTGCTATTATTAACAGCCATCTAAATAACGAAATATTGGAGGCGTTTGAAAAGAAAAATCTCTGTGACACTTACCTGCTTAACACTCAATTATTTGTGACAATGGATGAATCTTAAGTTTCTTATTTTGATAAATATATGCGTTTTATTTTTTTAATCTTAATATTTGTGATGAGGTTTTTAAATAAATAGCTTGAAATAATATTTTTTGTTTTAATAAATATCTCTTTCGTTGAATATTATGAAATTACTTAAAGCAAGCTCAAATTTCATCATGTAGTCATACAGGTACTACCAGCTATATATTATGACTATTGTATTGACAAAAACTAATTTGATCCATAGCCTAATGGATCAGTAAGCTTGGGTGGACCGCTTATGGATGGACCGGCCATATAACACAACGAACCAACAAATAATAGGGTAGAAAATTTCTCGAGTGGCAGCCACGTACCTATTAGCAAAATTTATGATGGCCCCTCGCTAGTTGGAGAGATGACAAGATAAAAGATGCAGGAAGCCGATAGATGCTGGTGACTCAGGACCGTGCTTTGTGGTATTACTTAGGAGAGCGGTGGATTTGTGAAGGGCTGTAATAATTATGATGAAGATGATGAAAACTAGTTTAATAAGTTTAATAACCTTTAACTTAAATTTATTAATATTATGTTTCATATGCTTTGAAATACTCAAGGAGAGGTAATTATCAAAGAGGGACTGAAATGTCCTTCCTTGATCATGAGTATCCTTCTAATATAAACTTATATCGTCTTGAACTATTGCTGATCGTCTTGATTAAATATCAGTTTGCATTACAGAATAATAGGATTGAACATTCTATTGTAAACAATAGATTTCTTTTAATTATTTACAATATATAAGAAATCAATAAATGCCCAAATTTAAAAGAGAAAAAAAGTGATACGAAAATCTAGAACCGAAAAAAAAAATCAGTAGAAGATAATGTTTTATTTTGAAGTGCCGCCAAGGAAACAAGCACTGATAACGAGATAATGTTTTACTTTCCTATTATATTTGCCATGTAGATATTTATTTGTTTTATTCTTTATTGCACCAAATATTTGTACAAAAGGCGAGCTTAGTGCTATATGGCATTCATATATTATATAGATAGATGTCATCCATGAGAAGGCTTGGATGCTCGTGTGCCTATATTTATAAAGTTACAATGGAGCGATAAAGAAAAAAGAAATGCAGTGGTTGTTTCGTACGAAGAGTTTTTAAGGCGCATCAAAATACATCAGCCGTATGTATGTGTATCGCACTACCTACAGTTGCACTCACAATTCCTCTGTCAAAGACCATTAAGACCGGGAAAAATAAGTGAAGATAAAATTACATAAATTTGTAAACTTTTCTAATAGATCATAAAGTCTAAAATATTTAAAGTTATTAACAAGATTACAATGTAACTACGTATAAAAATAATGAATAAAAACCAATCGGTAAAATAAAACTCAAAACACAATGATAATCTATATAACTGTATTTATCTAAATAACTGCTTCAATTGAACTCGGGGGGTTATTTTTACACTAGTTAGACATATACAACCATTTAAAAAAATTGACAAAGAGGTAGACAGCTATCTGTCCGGGCTAATCTCCAAAACAGCTGGACTTCTTGTAATGAAGTTTCACAAACAGATAAAAAGCTATGCCGGGAATGATGTAGTCTATGGTAAATTTGAAAAATAAGGAGGAAATTTCTTCAATTTTATGTCTCTTACTGAAACATACCTTGAACAAACATTGCCCCAGTAAACTATAGAATTGTTATAGATCCAAACGGGTATTCGCTTAAGTTCTTAGCGGACGAAGTCGCAGTCAATAGGTACATAAAACAAGTAAATACTATAAGATGACACTACTGTTTAGACGAAAATCTATATGTTACCTGAAGTTGGCTCTTTATTGATCGATAAACTCTGTCTAAGCACCGGCTTCAGAAGCTATCAAATTATGATGATTTTTTAATTTCTTGAATTATAATTGCGAAATTTAAATTAAATTATTTGTGTATTTCATATTTGCTATCAATTGCTCAATAATATCTAAGTAAAAGTTTTTGATTCGCTGAGTTGATCTGTGGTATGCATTTATACGTATCTCGTACTTATCAAAAATCAGGAAATGAATAGAAATTAACTTAAATGCCTGTCGTTCTTTCTTACTTTCATTGTTGTTTTTTTGTTTGCAACAATAATACTTTCAAATAACCTACCTATGCACTCTACTATTCCTTTACAACTTATTTAAACAATTATTAATTTCAATTATTTACTTTGGCTCAACATCATTCTGCAACGTTTTATTGAACCTTACTTTTTTATTTAAATATATCAACTGTACTCGTCATAAATAAAAATTCATTTTGAATTGTGCATGTAAGTACTCCCTTTTTTTTACAACCCAATGTTTTTTAAAAAAAAAACGATGGTTAAAAACCTTTGAGCTTCTGATACATACAAAATAAAGCTAAAAGATGGTATAAGCGATATCCCCTTGAACGCAATTTAATCAGCTTTAAAATACTACGAAATCGCTGCAATCGTTTGTGTAGAGATGCTAAAAGGCGCTATTTTCATGATACCCTCACAAGTTGCGATACTGCAAAAGCATGGAATTTTCTGAGATCTGTCGGTGTCGGAAAATATTCTGCTAGTGTGGGAAGTGAAATTAACTTGGATAGTCTCAACGAACATTTTGCCAACCCTCCTGTAATAGTTTCATCATTTACCAAAGCCAGAACCCTACTTGAATTATCCAAATGCCCAATACGTCATTATTCCTCATTTAATTTCACTTCTCTTACTGAAGATGATTCTATGCGATCCGTCCTTGCAATTTCATCTACTGCTATGGGAAACGATAACATCTGCTCTAAAATGATTACGTTGATTCTTCCCTTTCTGCTCCCTATTCTTACTCATATCTTTAATTTCTCTTTATCTTCTTGTTGCTTTCCGTCGTCATGGAAGTTAGCTCATATTATTCCTATACCCAAAGTTTCAAATCCTTCATCTGCAACACATTACCGCCCTATTTCCATTTTACCATTTCTTTCAAAGGTGCTTGAACATATTGTCCACACACAATTGACCAAGTTTCTTAACCGTAACAATATCTTAAGTACTTTTCAATCCGGTTTTAGGCCTGGTCACAGTACAACTACTGCTCTCCTCAAGGTAACGGATGATATCCGGTGCGGTATAGACCAAAAATATTTAACGGTACTTGTGCTGCTAGATTTTAGTAGTGCCTTCAATTCTATTGATTTTGATATACTTCTTAGCATTCTTCATTCTATTAATGTGTCTCCTTCAACTATTCAATGGTTTGATTCCTACCTCCGTGGCCGCTCTCAGTGTATTCGTATCAATGAAACTTTATCCAAGTGGTGCAATCTAGCCACGGGTGTACCTCAAGGTGGCGTCCTTTCTCCTTTATTCTTTTCCATCTTTATCAACTGTATCACCCAGGTGATATCTTCAAACTTCCATCTCTATGCAGACGATTTGCAGCTGTATCGTCATTTTCTAGTGACTGAAGCAAATTCAGCATTACTTGAAATAAATAACGATCTAAATAAAATCTATGAGTGGTCTAGATCATACGGACTTGTTATAAACCCTAAAAAATCACAAGCAATGATAATAGGCACCAGGTTTACTCGTAAATTACTTGACTTTTCTTCACTGCCAACTCTGCAAATTAATGGCATTCCACTAAGCATTTCAGAAATGGTTAAGAATCTGGGCATCATCATGGATTGCAAGTTGACATGGAATGCACATATCACAGAAATTAGCAGGAAAATATATTATACTTTTCATTCCTTAAAATGCCTTCCACATTTTCTGCCGTTATCAACGAAAATTTCTCTTGTCCAAACACTTATTTTCCCAATTCTTGACTATGCTGATGTCTGTTATTTGGATGCGACTGAGGAGCAATTAAACAAACTTGAGCGCTTGCAAAACTTATGTATTCGTTATATTTTCGGACTAAAAAAATATGACCACGTCTCCTCCTATCGCAAACAGCTCAAGTGGCTCCCAATCCGACTTCGCAGGAATACCTGAATCCTATGCCTCCTCTTTAACATACTATACAATCCAACATCACCACCCTATCTACGTGATCGATTCCACTTTGCGCACTCCCCCGATACAGTTTGCAGATCACATTTAAAAACCCTCCTAAATTTCCCTTCCTCTAAAACTAAGTCCTATTCTCACTCTTTTACAGTACATGCAGTTAGGTTATGGAATTCTCTTCCTGCTGCAATTAGAGAGGCTCAATCAGTGTCCGTGTTCAAATGGCGAGTCAAAGAGCACTATCTTCCTTTGTCGTCCCAATGATTATATATATAATATATTATTATATTTATATATGTAATATATATATATATATATATATATATATATATATATGTGTATTTATAGTGGTATTTAGTTGTATGTATGTTTACATGGATATTTGTTTTTATTATCTTTACTTTATGTTAAGTATATTAATATTATAAAATTTTATTATGAGAGTGTACACTAGATCAGCTTCTCTTTTAATTTGTCCAGTATCAGGCCTGCTGGAAGAAATTTCAATATGAAATAAGCAGTGCCTTTGTACAAAATATCTTTTTTTTCTCTTCCTTGTAACATTATTTTGTGTGTACATAAATTGTTAAATAAATAAATACAATTATTTCACGAAAAAAAATTGTTACACTCTTTGTGTATAAAGGGTTTACATCAGTATTATAAAAACAATAGTGTAATTGGAAGATATTTAAATTATACAAATAAAATGAACGTAACAATGCTGTCATTGGCAGTCAATTATTATTCGGTCACGGACTTAATACTTCGTAATACTCTGTCAACGTAATTGCTATGTGATATGATAATGTTGCAACGTTGACCAAGTAACTTCTGAACACGTCATATGTCATAGCAATAAAATAAAACCCGTATTTGCCATATTTGCACGTTTGGCAGGCGAGTTGGCAACAGCAGATTTTTATTATAATTATGTTATTATAGAGCTGCCCATCAGCTGTTTCAGTTGCCCTGTGTCAACTCTTGCGACACCCAC